TGCTCTTCCGATCTATATGAAATATCTTATAAAATATTGATTTCTTGATAATAGCACTTAATATTTTTAGGCACAGAATAATGAGATAAATCGATTGGTGTCAAGAAAACACACAGTTGTTTTAAAAATTTGAAAAAAATGCATAAACTTACTAATTTCAAAGGGCAACCTAAAGATATTAATCGATTTTGATGAAATTTTACCCAGACTATATTGAGGTCTTTATAGTTAACTTTTGAGGGGTATTACTAATCGATTAAAAAAAAATGTTTTTCGGCTTACCCTAATATACATATATATATATATATATATATAATTTTTAAAAATATTATATATTATATATTGCTTTTGACAATTTTTTAATGACAGTTAAATATATAAATATGATGGATGAATCTAAAGAGACGCATTGGTTGTATTAAATAAAAAGATACATATGCTATATTTATTTATGTGATACAACAATGCATTTTAAATACATTTCTGCACGGAAAGAACGATTTTGTTGAAAGACCTAAAAATTTTGCTAAAAACAGATCTGAAAATAATTTTTTATTAAATCATCAAAATAATTTATTAAAACTGATAAGTATTGCTATAAAACATTTTGATATTCTAGCAATTATTTTGACTTTCGCACAAAATAATTTTGATTATTGAACAAAAATTATTTTCAGATCTGGATTCAGCAAAATTGTTCTATCCGTGTGGAATTATTATTCATCCTTATTATTATTCTTAAATATGTAAAGGTGTTAAGAATCGTTTTATACGAATATAAAAATATACTTTGAAAGAAACGCTAGATTAGATTTTAAAAAATAGCTGGCTGTGAAACGATTAGATTAAAAAAAAATAGCTAGCTGTGTCAAGCAGGAAAATTAAATTTTTTGTTGCAAGCATAAAGATTACATACATACAATAATATGCAAACAAAAAGTTGTAAAACATTCTAATCTGTCGCAACAATCTATTATTTCAGATTTTGCTGACGACAACATTGTTAATGGATGTCTACTTTGCCTGCGAAAACTCCTCCGGGGATCCAATTGACACGTACGTGGTGGCCTCAAGCGCAATGCTGGTAATTGTCAAACTCACCATGCTGCAGATACAACGATCCACTCTCTCGACCAACCTGTGCTCCGCCATTCAGGACTGGTGTAGCGTCAAGGATGCGAGATCGCGCGAGATCATGATCCAGCACGCGCGTACGGCGAAAATTATTTCGCTGAGTTTGTTTTACTGCGGATTTGTCTCTCTTATATTTTACCTGTTGCGACTCTTGCCCTTCGTAAACGCGACCGCCAACGAAAGGACATTCGTTCTTCCGATGTCCTGTCTCTTCGAGTCCATCTCTAATCTCCAGTATGCCCTTATTACGTTCTACCAGGTGATTCAGTTGTTCATGACATACGCTGGAAACTGCTGCACGGAGGGAATTTTCGTCGGTATCACGATGCATCTGTGCGGACAGCTCGAACTACTGATGATCGACTTTCAGCAGTTCGATCGTCGCAACAATCGCGGAGGAGGCAGTATTGTTGAAGAATTCGTCATTAGACATAGAAAAATATTAAAACTCACGGAAAACATCGACGATTCTTATAGTATAATTATTTTGACTCAGATCTTCACTAGCGCTATTTTGATATGCGTAACAGGTAAGTCCACAAGTTATTTTCGCAATTTCTTCACAGTACAATTTTAATATAAGTTAAATATTATTTTATTAAATTTATAATAAAATCATCAATTAATTATTTAATATGTAAAAATCACGTTAAAAAAGAAAAATATAAAATATTACGAGAATTGTTATGAACATTTTTTGCAAAATTATTCTTATAACAGCAATGTATAATGCACATTTGAATATCAAAAAGCAAATAAATATTATATTATTTTATTTTAAAAACCATATTTACGTATTGCATAAAAATCAATGTATTAATAGCTTTTGAATTTCGTATTAATATACTCTATGTAAACAGTATTACATGATAATTAAGCTAAAATTTTAAAACAATTATAGCTTAAAAAAAAAGACCAGTTTATACAGAATCAAATATATTGATTTAAGGCTTCGGATTCATCATATCCTGGCGCATTCACGACACAGTTATGATGGTGAAGAGCTTTGTAATAATGATCGTTATGTTGCTGCAATGCTTCCTGTATTCGTACGCGGGTGATAATTTGAGGGATCAAAGCGAGGCCTTGTCATTCGCGCTTTATGATAGCAACTGGTGCGATTTTTCGCCCAGTGATATAAGAGACCTGGCATTCATTATGATAAAAACGAATATACCCATCCGACTGACCGCCGGAAAATTTTTCTATGTCACACGTGCTACCTTCACGGATATTTTGAGAACTGCAGTATCCTACTTATCTGCCTTACGTGTTATGATTGAGAAACGAGAAACAAATAGTTAATGCTTTTGTATTATATGTCATGTCACACATTATTTACGAAATTCATTTATAGCGATGCGAAATTTTTAGTCCAATATTAATGTATAATATTAATATACAATTTTAATTTATATTGCGTAAAAACTTAATTATTCTTAGAAAAATATTACAAGTAAACAAATCATTCGAAAAGTTCTTTACTTTGAATTTCCTTAATAAGTATAAGATATAATAACCTGCGATAAAATTCTGTGAATAGAAAAATTTAATTGTAAAAGTCATATAATAAATATATTTCTGTCTGAAATTAATTTTTATATTTACTTTGATTAAGGAAGATTTTGTCAAAGAATATATAAAATTACTGATATACAAAATACTTACTAGTGACGCACAATTCTCCAATTAGTTTTCTTAATATGGTCCATGTAACAGAGTTAAAGAAACTCAATTTACTCATCCACACTGTATAATTTTAATATCCAAAAGGATTAAGTCTACAATATTCACAACCAAAATAATATGAAGATAAGACGAAATAAAATATAATATGATGAGAACGCACATAGTACATAAGAGAGACGACGTTCTTTTCTTGACAGTTCATATATATCTACGATAGCACGAAGAGATCGTTCGATAAGCGGCAACTAAAAAAACATAAATTCTTATTGAGCAGTAATGTATAACAACATAGATCTCTATGTTCTGCGATAATGCATTAAGAGCATAGAGGCAGGCCGATATACATGAATAAAAAATGAGCCGGAACACAGGCGGACGTATATCATCGGTTTATTGGTAGCAGTTACAATCATTACCTTAATCCAATGGCAAGTGAACGATGGAAGGACGATGTCGCATACGCGATAACCCCTTTTAAATTGGTAGCGTGGTCTATCGGTGTCTGGCCACTTCAAATTCATAATGTTTATTCCCTAATACTATACGTCTTGGGCATCTCTTGCTCGGTACGTACCTTCTAAATTCAGATCAGCCTTGATGATCAGTGACGCGCAGTCCTTTGAGAACGATGTAAATTAATTCTCTGTTGGATATTATATCGCATGAAAACGTACCAACAGGTCTTCATGCTCAGCAAACCTGGTATCGAAATTTTTATGGGCTGCACCGATGCGGAGACGAGCGTAGACTGCTTGATGTTAATCAGTTGCGGAATACTTGCCGTGCTGAAGGCAATATGGTTTCGAGTTTACGCAAAAAATTTGGCCAACAATTATAACTGCGTCGTGAAGGATTATCTGACAATTGAAAATACAAAGGAACGTGCCATCATGCGGAAACATACTTTTATGGGAAGGACTCTCTGCTGTTTAATTTTGAGCTTCGCTTACTTTAGCTCTGTAATGTATGGAGTAATCGCTATTCTGGATGAGAAAAAGTATGTCAATATAACAAATGAGGATATCATGCTACAGTACCCAATACCATCGAAATGTTTTATGAAGTACTTAAATGCTCCAGTGAGCATGCATAAACTCTTCTGTCTCATCGATGTTATTGCATTAATACTAGCGAGTACTTCTAATCATGGTATTATCAGATTTTTATTTGACTGTTCTTCATCTTTTTTGTTTTAAAAACAATTTTAGCAATTTTTAGTTTTAATTACACGTACATATAAATATATTCCGTGCATAAAATATCTATTTTTATTGTTTTTATTAATGCAAATAATTTCATTGCTTTCTAGAAGTTTTCTTTATTTTTTTTTGTTTTAATTGCAATAATGAGAAAAAGTATGAACCTACCGTTCCGGTAAATAATATATATAAATCATATGTTATATAATATATCAATATAAACTGTATTACTTTCTTTTGATGATTGAAAGGTAACGACGCTTTGTTTCTGAACGTCACGTTGCACATTTGCGGCCAAATGAAAATTCTGAGAGCCAATTTTATTGAGTTTGATATCAAAAGCCCGCATATCTACAATCGTTTCAACGTATTAATTGAAAGACACAAGTATTTAATAAAACTGGCCAGAGAACTTGCCGAAATGATTAGTTCTGTTTTACTGATAGAATTATTTATAATCAGTTTACTTTTGTGCTTAATGGGTGTGTGAATGACACGTCACTTCTAAATGTTTCGCAAAACAATGTTAATTGTATAAGTTATGTTATAAAGATTTATATCAAGCGGACAATTTTTTTTCAGGATTTCAACTTATTCTACAACTAAATGAAAACAACATCGGTTTAGTTACAAGAAATGTAATGGCACAAAGTGCCTTTCTGACACAATTAACTTTATATTGTTTTATTGGAAATTATTTAAAATCTGAAATGGAGGAAATAGGGATTTCTATTTATCAAAGTACTTGGTACAGTTTTCCTGCAAAATTGAAAAGGCATATAGTCTTCGTTATTATGCGCTCAGATACTCCGGTTGTCTTGCAAGCTGGAAATTTTATCGTAGTAAATCTGGCAACTTATATGAACATCCTAAAAGCATCTCTTTCGTATCTGTCTGTACTTCGTGTAACGGTAAACGTGTAAAATATAACGTATATACAAATAAAAAATAACAGTTCTACAATTTGGACGCATAAAAAAAAGAAAAAGTGTATTGAAATGTTATTTTAATAAAATTACTTATTGTAATTACTACAGTTATCTGAAACAAATTAATCTATTTTTATACATTTTTAACAATATACATATACTTGAACATACCTATACAATTTGAATCTACTATTATTATTCAATTAATATATCGGAATCAAGACAATAAAAAATTTTTGAGAAAATTACTTACATACTTATAACGCATATTTCTTTTGTTAACCTAGTGTGCGAAAAAAAATATGAATAGTTATAGGATAAAAGAAGAATTAGGATGAACAAGCGATGTTATATGTGCGCCGTATAGTGCTGTCAGCATAGCAAATCGATTAATGAAGATCGTATCAATGTACAATTATCCTGTCATCTGCTATTAAAGATGTACACTTATGCGATCAGCTTGCAGGAACTGCTTTATGATATTCACTTGATGCACTTCGAGAATGGTGTACTGAAACAAGAATGCTATTCACGCATTGTAAAGTTACAAAATTTTGGCATGGCCTGTAAAATTATGGCTAATTGATGACATATTTTATTCAATGATACGTTACTATTAGCGGGATAAGAGAAACTTATGTAGTTATAGCGTTCGGAGCGTTCTTGGAATAAAAATTAAAATGTGATTTGTGCCAAAAAGTACAAATGCGAGAACAATTTCTGAGACCACTGAGTGTAAAAAAAATAGTTTGTTCAGATTCGAGGTGCGGATGTGCTCCGTTCAGTCAAAAAAAGCAGCGCGTATATGTATGTGAATAAAAATTGTTATTAGCTTTATTTTCTTAATTTATAATATACTTTTAATTTATTAATCTGAATCGACCGTGGAATGTTTCAAACAATTAAGATGAGAAAACGCCAACACAGTACGAAGCGGATCTTGATGCTTAATAATACTTTTATATAGGAATCTTACAATTCTCAATTCAAGTAAACTGCGCGCTTAATGATCGATCTTTAAATACAGCTCTAAACTAAATAATATCAAAATAAATTAAATTGCCAAAGTACTTTAATAATTTGATGCTAATGAGTATTTTTTACTTGAACTGAGAATTGTAAGATTCATATAAAAATATTATTAAGCACTGAAATCTGCTTTGTACCGTGTTGGCGTTTTCTTATTTTATTTTTAATTTATTTTTTTTTTAATATTTTGTATTCTATATCTCTTAGGCTATATTCCAATAGTTAATTAGTATTGAAAATCTATAATTCACATTACATACATAATATAATACTATGTGGCGATCGTGGCGCAAGGATCTGCGCTGCAGCTTTCGGTGCCGAAGACCCAGCTTGAAATCCACTCAGAACAATATAACTCAAAAATCGATTTTAATCGATTTGGAAGCGATCAGGATCTCTCGGAAGGCAATGGTAAACTTCCAGGTGAATGTCCTGCGAATTTTATTTAAGATATAAAAAACATCGCATGCAGAATATTAATATACTTGTACTATTATTGAGACTGAATCTAAACTACGGAGAAGGAGGCGACACGGCACTCTTCACTTTCTGTGTATTTTTCCTTTCCGTCTTGAAAAAAATCAATATGCTTTGGTTCTCCTGAGAGAGAGACAGATTTTCGGTTTTTAACGATTGCAATTTTTATGACGCAACTTTTATAATAGTAAAAGACACGTTATGATATTGCAAACGACAAAAACAGAAGATCAGGATCTACTACGAATTATGGGTTTGCAGATCGATGCTGGATTCGCGTAAAACACGCTCGCTTATTTTTTTCTCTTTGTGCATCTGCTCAAGGCGCTGACTTAAGGGGATCAGAGCACTTTTGGCCCACCTAATAATTTTTACTTTTTTGTTTTTTAACAAAAGATTTTTTAACAACTTTTTATTATTTGTATAAATAAGTACTATTGCTAACGAATTTATTAATCAAAATAAAATACGGTGTGCAAACTTTTTACGGGAATAGAATAAATTATTAAGCTTTCTAAATTATTAAGCAAAAAAAGATTGCTCTTCTAATAGGTCATTCGGCGTTAAAACTGTAGGTCCCATATATCTATAGATATATGCAAAAGAGGTCATCTACGTTTGGGGGACCGGCACATGAAGAATTTGTGTGACATGTGGTCGTAACAATTCGAACAAACAACCATACTTGTATGTATTGAAAATGATTTAATACTGAATGTATCCCGCATGACGCATGAAGATATATTTATTTTTTTCAAAACTGTTATAAGAAATTGCTAGAAGTTTAGAGAAACATATATAGAAACTTCTTATTATTAGAAGAAATAAATGTTAACATGTTTGTATGGCGTATGTGAATCATCGTCAATCTCTAATTATGGAACAATATTCTACAATTTTTTATTTTTTATTTTACTCTGACAGAGCATGCCTAACATTAAAAAATACATTATGGCGATTGTATCGCCATATGCCTAACAAAGCGAAAATTCTGTCGGTGTAATAGAATTCGAAAGAAACACAGCATTACAATATGTATGTGACTGCATCGGTGTACTGCTCAAGAAACGACGTGAAGAGTAAATGCATCATGACTGGCGATCGCCACAATTCTAACTGTCAAGCGAAAAGAAATTATTTAAAATCAAAAATGGAAGGAATAGGAGTTTCTATTTATCAAAGTACTTGGTATAACTTTCCTATAAAACTGATGAGACATACAGTCTCCGTTATTATGCGCTCAGATTCTCCGGTTATCTTACAAGCTGGAAATTTTATCGTAGTAAATCTGTCAACTTTTATGAGTATTATAAAAGCATCTCTTTCATATCTGTCTGTATTTCGTATAATGTTAAAAGTGTAAAATATAACGTATACAAATAAAAAATACACAAATTAAAAATAACGGTTAATTCTACAATTTAGATGCATAAAAAAAACAAGTGTATTAAAATGTTGTTTTAATAAAATTGCTGATTGTAATCACTACGGTTATCTGTGACAAATTAATCTATTTTAATATATTTAACATTATATATATATCTAATAATATACATGCTTGAATAATATACTTATACTTGAACTATTATTATTATTTTTATTAAAATTTTTATTAACTATTTTTATTAAATTAATATATTGGAATCAAGAAGATAGAATAGAAGGATGTTATGAAAAAGCCTATTCTTGCTGCGCTCGCGGAAAGTGAAATCAACATCATTTCTTATATTTTTTTGGACGAGAAATCGAATGATGCTAATTAAAATTATCACAAGTCACAAGTCAAGAACACATCAAAAATTGAGTTTAAATGAATGAAAGATGCATGACGTCGCAATCATTCGCGAGACAAGTCACTGCATATGTCGATGCAGTGCGATACATTATGATTTGACATTTAAAATAAAGAATATATTTGTCATAAAAATGCTATATTTAATAACAAAAATCAGACGCAACGGTAAATTCCGTGCGTCTTTGCAAACATTTTCTTTGGATTTTTTGTCTGAGAAACTATAAGAAATGATGTCGATTTTATACTGTCCGCAAGCACAGCAAAAACAGACTTTTCTGTGACACCCTTTTATGAGACGTGTAGAATTACTTACATACTTATAGCTCTTCATCAGTTTGCTAATCTAGATAATATTTGCGAAAGAAAAAGAAAAAAAGAATAAATTATTTGTATAATGTATATTCATTCCAGCATAGATTAAATTTATACTGTTCAACTAAAAGGATATTGCGCCAAATAAAAGTTAGATACACACTTAACGAACGAACAGCGAATGCGAACGTTCGGATATTTGCGTGTTCGTGTTCGTAGATCGTTTGTTCTGTTTCTCGGTTGCATCGAAAAAAAAGAACGATCTATGAATGCAAACGTGAACGTCCGAACACATTCGCGTTCGCTAAGTGTGTACCCAGCTTAGGACAATTGAAGTTTAGTGAAGGAAATATATACGGCTATCTACCTAACAGTTTGTGCAATAAAAAAGTACTTGCTCGATAAAAATGACGACATAAAAAAACTTAGTCGTATAAATTCTTGTGCAATAGCGCAAATTTTGCTTGAATGCATAATTTTCTACATTTTGTTATAATGCGTTGAGAACGTGGAGGCAGGCTGATAAGCGGGTTTACGTCTCGGACTGAATAAAAAATGAATCGAAATAGAGGCATTAGGTGTATGTACCAAGCGCATCATCAGTCATTGGCATCAGTTACAGTTATTACCTCGATCCGATGGCGAACAAACGATGGAAAGACGATGTCTCGTACGCGATGACCCCCTTCAAATTGCTAACGTGGCCCATCGGCGTTTGGCCACTTCAAGTTTATAACGTCTATTCGCTATTACGATGCATCTTCGCCACCTGTTGCGTGGTACGGATCTCCTTCGATGTCAGTGATCCTTGTCGCGTAATAGTCTGAGGGGATACGATACGTAAAACATCTCCCGCATCACGTCGTAAACAAAACTTCGCGATGGCAATAGCAAGTGCTTAAACTTCTGGACGATAGATGTTCATATTGATAACGTTATAAGTTGTGAAGCATTTTTTTTTAGGGATAATAACGCGAGCGGGCCGTGAATGAGCACGATCGTAAATCCTTAGAAATTTCGACTAATAAAAATCCTTCTTTTTTTAAATCTTTATGTGTTTCTATCGCTTATTCATGTTTAAAGATAACAAACTCGTTTTGAAACATTCTAGACATAACTCTATATGACTTATTTTACGATTCATGTATTTTCACGATTCGTGTCTTTCTAGACAAACTATATGATTGACACGACAGAATTTCATTGATATCAAGTTTTGTTAAATTGTGCTTTCTGGTACGAAAAAATTAATGAGACGTACAATTTTTATCACTTGTTATTTTACAAACGTTTGCCTTGTTATTATTTTGATTAGATATCCAATGACATTAGATTCAAAAACATAATTATATACTATTCTGTATCTTTAAATCAAACTGACTTATTCTTTTTAACATCTTTTTATGCTTTACATATGTAGAAAAATATTGCAACTATATTTATATCGTAGTTTCTTAAAACTGTTATTTGCAGTTAATATTAATAAAGACTCAAAGTCAAAAGAATCCAGATATTTTTTTAACATGCAAAATTTTATATAAAATATACAATTTATATGTATCAACAGAGTCTAATGGTGATATTGCCTTCCATCGAAATTTACATGGGCTGCACTGACGCCGAGCAGAACGTAGATAGCCTTATGTTAATCTGTTGCGGAATACTTGGTATACTGAAGACAGTCTGGTTTCGCGTTTACGCAAGAAATTTGACTAACAATTACAGTTCTGCTCTGAACGATTATCTGATGGTTGAAAACGCAAAACAGCGGGCCATTATGCGAAAACATGCTTCTACGGGAAGAATGCTCTGCTGTTGCATGCTGAGTTTCTCTTACATTAGCTGTATAATATACGCGCTAATTCCTTTTTTGGGTGATAATAAAAGTAAGGAGATAAATGTAACGAGCGAGGACGTATTAGAGTATACAGTACCATCAAGATGCGCCTTGGAGTACCTCAACGCTCCAACAAGCATGTATAGAATCTTATGTCTCGTCGAAGCTGTCTCGATTATTCTGACAAGTACCACTAATCACGGTAATATTTGCTATTTATATTGATATTTTCTATTTTTTGTGCTATATAATATTCTTTAGATTCTTTAGAAAATTAAACGGACACAAAATTATATATTGTAATTACGCACATCATTAATTTTTTACTAATTTTTATAATGTGTTTATAAAAAATATCATTACAATACGGAAGTAATATATATTATATACATATTGCGTTATATATAGCATATATTGCATTATATATAGTGTAATATTTATTCATATTAAAGCGTAGATTATTTAGCTTATTGCTTTATCTTTATTTTTTTTCACAGCCTTCTGTTTCAAACGAGCAGTTGAAATAATTTATATATCCAACTATTTGTTATTTAATTTATAAAACATTCAAATTATAAACAACTTTTCCTGTTTCTACCATTTTGCAAAATTTGCAATTATTAATTAACGAGATATTAATTCTTTAAGATTGGCAAATAAACGCGTATTTGTTCGGCCCACCGCTGAATGTAAGCGCGTGGCTAGATAAGTAGATTAAACTGAACAGAAAAGTACTGTACTATTTTGCAAAATTTGTAATCATTAACGAGATATTAAGTTTATTCGCCAATCTTCAAAAATTAATGTCTTGTTAATAATTATAAATTTTGCAAAATGGTACTTTTCTATTCAGTTTAATTTGCTCTAGCCCACAAGAGTTGGTGCGGTTATTACCGAATACTCTATATATATACATTAATTATATATATATATATATATATGTATATATATAACATAAAAAATAAATAACATATAATTATAACAAACGAAACATATACTTATTGTTAAAGCCAGATTCTACCGCGCCTCTTTTGACAAATATAAAACTAAAATTAAAAAATTAGTAAATGCATATATTTTGTTGTACTTATTTTTTAAATAACTATGTAAATAAATTTTTTAACTAATAACAATATTAATATTAATATTGTCCTGTGTATTAACATAATATTACAGTATTATATCAATTTATGTTCTCTTAAGGTAACGATTCTTTATTTCTTAACATTACACTGCACGTTTGCGGTCAAGTGGAAGTTTTGAAAGGCAAATTTATTGATTTTGATGTCAGAAGTCCGCATGTTTATAAGCGTTTCATCACGCTAATTGACAGACACAGCTATTTGATAAGAAAGGCAAGAGAACTTGCCGACACAATTAATTTTGTTTTATTAATTCAATTATTCATTATCAGTATACAATTATGTATAACGGGTGAATATTACATCATTTATTGTTTCGCAAAATATTAAATTATATTACGCATTTACTAAACAAGTAATTTTATTTTCAGGTTTTCAATTTATTCTAGCGTTGAAAGTCAACGACACTGTTATGGCGACAAAAAGCATAATGGTGCAGAGTACCTTTCTATCACAATTGACACTGTATAGTTTTATTGGAGACTACCTAAAATCTCAGATGGAAGAAATAGGACTTTGTATTTATCAAAACGTCTGGTACGATCTTCCTGTAAAAATGATGAGAAACTTAATCTTCATTATTATGCGGACAGAAACTCCCGTCACGTTGCGAGCTGGGCAATTCATTGTAGTAAATTTATCAACTTACATGAGTATCCTAAAAGCTTCTATTTCGTATCTGTCTGTACTTCGAGTAATGGTGGAATCATAAAATATAAAACGTACGAAGTAAAAGAACTCTATGGAAATCTTAAATCGGCTTAAGATTTGGCAAGACAGAAATTTGTAAGAAAGAATTTAATAGAATGCCATTTTAATAAAATTGTTGATTATATTTATAACACGGAATCGTCTGTTGTGCCAAATCAATTTTTATATTCATGTAATATTAAAAATATACATATACTTCTAAAAACACAGTTAATATATTATCTTCTTTTAAACATAAAAACTTCTAATTATATCATATATATTTTATATAAAAAGTATCTACGATTTCCCCTTTCCCTAATATTTATTTTTTTGTACCGTATTATAATAACATATTTTCATTATCTCTTTAAAACAATTACCAGTTCACAATATAAGAATATTGTTATATTTTTAACTGTGTTAATTATATCTAAAGTTATATCTAGAATTCGGGACGTTTACTAGGCTGTGATTTATTTCCTTTATATTTCGAAATTAAGTGTTTACTACATAAATAATACTTTAATCAAATAAATGTATTAATTTATTTTAGAATTAATTGCCTTGACGTAAAAGAATTTATAATATTTGTAATATATAATTATTATTATTTTGCTGAATATAAACCCAAAATTTTAATAATTTTAATTAAAATCTGAAGAGATTATCGTAGACACGTAATTTTTCCAAAAAATTTTTACAGTTTAATAAAAAATACATTCATGTATCATGAAAATAATGAGACAATAATTTTAATTCAGTTTTATATCTTTGTATTATAATTAGATTAATATTATAAAAATGAACTGAATATTTATAATACAATTTGTATTTTTTCAAATATTGTATGCTTAAACTAAGCGCGCAAGCTCTTATAATTATTTAAAAAATAACATTTTAAAATACTCGATGAAATATCTTCTTATTAATATATTTTTTCAAATAATATTTGCAATATTTTGAAAAAAAAAAGGTTAAATACATTTATAAATCTGCTTACTTAAAACTTACATTAAAATTAAAAAAATAATTTCTATTACTTAAGGATTTACTTACTTGTAATCTATCTCTTTCATCTGTTCACATCTATCTTGATTTAATTTATTTTCGTGGATATATTCCTCTCGGATCTTCATTCTCTGGGCACGAATTCCCGAACGATACAAAGTAAAAACTTATATATTTCTGCGTGATAAACTTTCGCAATGGGAGTATAAAGGAGTGGGGACCTTATATGAGAAACTGACATGTGCTTTATCATCAAGCTATTAGATCAATGACACGTATTAGAGCTAGTAGGTTTTTACGAATTGCGACGAATAGTCATTTCTGGCCGTGCGTGATGGTTGCAAATGCTCAAGGCTGCAAGGAACATTCAAACGTTGGGGTGCATAGCGAAATGCGCTCCGATCAATAATGAATGCAAGTATAAGCTGCGCTGGCTCACATGCTTACGCTCGATGACACCGTAACCCTTAACATGCGAGGATGGCGTCATGCAAAATGTGGAATAAAGAAATGTCCCGTGAATTTTCCTTGTATAAGCGAGTAATGTGGCCGCTCGGCTCGTGGCCGTTGGACCGTAGCAGAAACTTCGCAAAATTGCGCGCGCTGTTTGTTACAGTCACGCAGGTAAATCTAAGAGTTCGTCGATATATGTTTAAGAATTGCATACCTGAAACCTGTTGTTTCTGATAATGTAAATCGCAAAGTTATTTAAGTAAAAATAAGATAAAAAAAGTATCATTTATTAACGTATAATTTGTAAAGTGCTACATATTATAGGTATATTTTTGAAAATAAGCAGAGCAAATAATAAATCTCGTCTTTCTGACTTTGAAAGATAAGAATATAAACACGCACTTTTGTAATAATAAAATATAAATTAAGATATGTTCGTTATGAGTTTTAACATTTGATTTAGCCTTTTGTACATAAATTAAGATATGTTCATTATGATCTTTCTTATTTTCTATCTCTTAAGATTGAAAAATAATTCTGCAATTATTGCTTGTACGTACATATAAAATTTCCTAATAAAAATAAATATTCTTCAAATATAACTTATATTTTTTTATACTTATTTTATGTTGGCAGACTATTATGATAATTTATATAAGCATGGACATTAGTTACCACAGCTATGCTACTCAGGCCATCGTCGTCGAGCATCTCGTATTAGCTTCATGTGGGATTTTGACCATTGTAAAGATAACGCTGATACGGCTGCATCGCGACAACCTGTTGAAGAACCTGCGCAATGCGGCGAGCGACTGGACGTACATCACAGAACAAGATCATCGTCAAGTTATGTTTCGCTACACTAATCTGGGAAGATCCGTCTGCTTCTTTCAGATGGGTTCCTCGTATTTTGTCATTATACCGTTGATAGTCGGACCGCTACTGTCTTCTGCGACGTTGTTCTCTTCAGAAAACGTCACGTCAATTGCGAATTCCGAGAAAGAGATACGAGCCATGGAGCTGCCTCAAGAGATGATCTGTCCGTTCGACAATCAGATCGTTTGCTACGGTATATATATCCTACAAAGTATTCAGCTGATCGGCACGGCCACGGGGAACGTTGGCAGCGATGTTTTCCTCTTCGGCGTTTCCATGCATCTCTGTGGTCAACTGGAAGTGCTTGGTCTAGAGCTGTTGCGTTTCCACGAAGGGAGGGAACACAGTTACTGGAAACGAACTAAAATGGTCACACTGATCGAGAGGCACTGTCTGCTCCTGAATCTAGCCAAAGACATTGTTGACATACTCGATGGTATTTTGATCGCTCAACTAATCCTCCACGCTTCGCTTATATGCTTAATAGGTAATTTCAATTTAAGATCATACATGTCCTCCTTTCCGATTGATATTCCTCACATTGCGCTCATCTTATAAAGACTATTAATTCATTGGATTATAATTTAATTTAAAAGGACTAACAAGATTAATTTAATTGTTATAGAAATAGATAGAAATAAATACTGAGCACTTTTCAGGAATACAACTCATTGTGTCGTTGGCAAATAGTGAGTATGTCTTCGTCACGAGAAGTATATCCGCTTTTAATATAGCAATGATACAGCTGTTCTTATACAGCTATATAGGGGAAACTTTGTCGTCAAAAACGCAAGCGATTTCTCGCGCGATTTATTTAAGTAGATGGTACGACTTGCCTACAAACGTTGTGCGAGACATGTATTTTATAATAGCTCGCGCTAATGTACCCGTTCGCATAAGAGTAGGTAAATTCTACATTATGGATCTTAACACCTTCAAAAATATCCTGAAAGTCTCGGTTTCTTATTTTTCTGTATTAAAAATTATGCTTGTTCAATAAATTGTTGGAAACATAAATGAGATGTTTGGTAAAAATTGTAATTTCGCTTTTCACTTTTCTAAGCGACTTACAAAATAGAAAAAAAGTGACGTGTATGACTCACCTGTTATGTCATTTCTGATCGGAAAAACTTACAAAATTCGATCCGGCATAGTCGTCAAAATTGCGAAGCTCCTGAAATAAAATGTTATACACACGGAGCGTATCGTGACTCAATTGCACAAATAACGTTCTCTCTATGCGGTGAAAAATGTAGCCGTTCAATGTCCGCAGCAACTTAGAAAAAATGGTCACGTAAACTCCCCAGTGACAATTTGGCGTAAAAGCATAATCTTCTGCACTTTCCGATAATGCGTTAAGGCGGGTTGATAAGCGGGTATACGGCTCAAGTTGAATAAAAAATGAATCGTAATACCTGCATTGTGTCGGTGTACCGGGAACATCATCGGTTATTGGCATCAGTTACGGTCATTACGGTCGACCCAATGGCAAGTGAACGATGGAAAAACGATGTCGCACACGCGATGATCCCCTTCAAGCTGTTAGCGTGGCCCATCGGCGTTTGGCCACTTCAAGTTTATAACGTCTATTCGCTAATACGGTTCATCTTGTCCACTTGTTGCATGGTACGCGTCGTTTCAGTTCGATTTCGACGATCCTTTGTCGCGTGATGAACATGTAGATAGAATAACTTTTACCTCGACATCACAACAACTTGAAATAAAATTTCGTTGATATCGACAACATCAAGTGTTTAAATTCCCAAACAGTGGATATTGATGACGTCAAGATAGCGAAATGCTTTTTTTTCAGGAGTAACAACTCGTTGAACGAGAATATCATAATATCATGGATAGATCGTAGGCTATTGTAAATTGACTAATGAAAACATTTCAGTTTAGGACTTACGGTTTATTCGTGCCGAAGGGTAACGTAACTGTTTCTGAGAAATTCCGGGGGCTGCATGTGCTATATCGCTTATTTGGCTAGCTTGTCATTTGTGTCTAAGAAATACATCGATATATGACATTTTTTTGACAGCATTGTATCAAAAAGAATTGATCGTGTGAAAGACAAATTAGATGAACGAATATATACAAAATTGGAAAAAGATTCTCATTTTTATTATTTCTATTAAATTTTTATTTTATAGCATACAAACATTTATCTATTTATATTATTTATTGTATAATAAAATCTTGTTATTATTTTAATATTATGAAGTGTTTAATTTTGCGTGCCGTTAAATCAGTCCAGATAATTTTCAATGTTTCTTGACATTATAAATATTAGAAAGTTGAAATAAAAATATTTATTTCGAAAGATTATCTTATTATTAAATTTTAATATTTTCAAAGATCCGTCGATCTGGAATTGAGGCATATTGTTTCTAGACACAAAAGCTGTTTGAATGAGAAAATATACCGTTTACGCATATCAACAGAGCACAATAGTGATCTTGCCTTCCATGGAGTTTCACATGGGCTGCACGAACACGGAGCAGAATATAGACGGTCTCATGTTGGCCTGTTGCGGTGTACTAGGAGTACTGAAGAGTATATGTTTTCGCATTTACGCGAAAAACCTAACTGACAATTACAGTTCCGCCCGGGATGATTATCTGACGATTGAAAATATGGAGCACCGCGCTATCATGCATAGACACGGTTTTATAGGAAGAATTCTCTCCTGTTTTATGGTGTGCTTCTCCTACGTTAGTGTGATAATATATTCGCTAATTCCTCTTCTGGGTGAAGATCCGACTAGTAAGCAAGATAGTCAGATCAACGTAACAATTGAAGACGCTGTATTGGACTATCCAATACCATCAAGATGCGCGTTAGAATACTTGCATATCCCAACGAGCATATATAAAACTGTTTGTCTCTTGGAGTTTATTGTCCTAGTACTTACATGTACTTGTAATCACGGTAATATCTATTTGTTGATTTGTATGTTTTTTTTTGTATCATGTAACACTACTTAAAATATGACAGAATTTTGAACATAAAATCAGGTCAAAATTTTTTAACTCTACTAATTTTTATATTAACTCTATTGATGTAACTTATCTGCTTATTGTTAATCATAAAAATATTATAATATACATAATAATATACATATATCATAAAATATGAAAACATAAAAATATATTCAAAAGGATGTAAAAATGAGATTAAATATATAATTCAGTTAGAAGAAATACCAAAAAATTATAGTTATACGAAATTAATATACGGAATTTTATATATACATATAGATTTTTTATTAATGAAATGAAGTTTGTATCATTGTATTTCCTCTTTAAAAGGTAATGACTCTTTGTTTCTCAATATCACATTGCATGTATGTGGTCAAGTGAAAATTTTAAAAGCCAATTTCGTCGACTTTGTTGTCTCAAGTCCACAAGTTTACGATCGTTTCAATGTTCTAATTCAGAGACATAACTATCTAATGGAATTGGCCAAGGAACTGGCCGAAACGATCAGTGTAGTTTTGTTGACACAGTTATTTATTAGCAGCGTCCTGTTGTGTATAATGGGTAAATATTATATTATTTAAACGTTATAAAGTTTTGCAACGTATGTAAATTACAAGAATTTTAAGCGAATAAATTACTTTTCAGGGTTTCAATTTATCTTAGCGTTAAAAACACACAATGTTGTTGTGATGGGGAAAAGCTGCATGGTATTGTGTACCATGATGACACAATTAACCGTATACAGTTTTGTCGGGGATTACTTGAAATCCCAAATGGAAGAAGTTGGATTTTTCATTTATCAAAGCGCCTGGTACGATCTTCCTGCAAAGCTGGCGAGACATTTAATCTTCGTCATCATGCGAACAAAATCGCCCGTCAAGCTGCTGGCTGGAAATTTCATTGTGGTAAACCTGGCAACTTATATGAGTATCCTGAAAACTTCTATTTCGTACTTATCTGTACTACGTGTGATGATAGAAACATAAAATATAATATACGTGATAAAAAAATTTTACAAACTATAAATCTCGACAATTCGGAATTGTCGAGATTTATAGTTTGATAAGATAGAATTCTGTAGAAACAAAAGTTACTATAATATACTTTAATAAAATTGCTAATCACGATCATAATATAACTGTGCCAAAAATCGATTATTTCTTCTCATAAAAAAGTTTCTACGTTTCTACGAAATATTTACGTTTGGAAAAGATATGCTGTCTTGCTTAAGAAATTACAATCTTAATATTACATATATATTTTTTTTTTCAAGAAAAATGATTTTCCTCTTTTTCTTAATTCAATACCTCTAAACTCGTTTTCATTTGAAATTTTTAGACCATAATAGTGCAAATATTATTACATTTTACTATTAAAATAACTATTAAAATATTATACTAACTTAAAGATACCGATTATTACCTTTTATCATTTACATCCAATGCCGAATGTCCAATTGTTGCGTATCATAATGCGATGTATTGCTCTCTTTCTTGCGATGTGTTCTCGACATTCAATTGAAACCCAAAAATCCATATCATGGAGCTCAGTTGTACCACAAATCACACTTGCTTTGAAATACACCAACATTGTCAATTAGATTAAAACAGATATTACATTTTTGTTGATTATATATTGCATATAACATTCAAATTCCGAATCAATTTGTCATTTGTAACGCACAATGCACGTTTTCTTCACCGATGACGCGATATTTTTTTCTATTGCGCTCGCGTAACTACCGGTTGTATAGACATGCGCAAACTGTCTTTTTGCACATTTATCTTACTACCATCCATCATGCGCAGTATGAGCTAATGAAAAAAAATGAGTCTAATGGGGATAATGCGTCTTACCTGCGGTTATGATGTCCCTTAGTAATGTTTCATGACAATGTTCGTAAATTGACATTGAATTTGCGACGTCGAAAAATTGCGCCCGTATAACGACGGGGCAGTCATCGAATGTCCAGTCATTCGCGTAGTTTGTGCAACCACTATAATGTCGGATGATGTCTGGAACGACGATGTCATTTATGCGTTCTCCATTCATAGAACGTTTATGCAAATACTCGGTTTATGGCCGCTGCAAAAGAAGACGATATTCACGATAATTCACTGGAGTGTAATGATATTTCTACTGGTACGTTGACAGTACGTTGACAGGGAGGGAAGAAATTGTAGAAACGCGTTCGCAGCTGCAGAGCAAATAGGTATACCGGGACGATCCGCGAAATTTCTAAGTTCAAGAATGTGTGCACAAAAGAATTTTTTCAAATTTTGTCGTAAACAGTGCGAGCTTTTCAAGTGCGAATATTTTATACTCGTTACTGTTCACGCATATATCATATTTTCTAAGGTAATGGGATCATTATTAGTTCACGCCACTCTGCTTCATGTACTTGGAATTCATTGGAAGTCATAATGACTCCGGTAGACACATGGATGCCACGGTATATACTGTATTGACGGGAGCTTTAAATTTGAACTATGTCTATATTGCTGGTAAACGAGACAAGTTGGCCAAAAACATTAATGCTGCTATCACCGATTGGTTATCTGCAAAGAGTGACGAGAAATCGTACAAGATCATGAAGAAACAGGCGTTTGAATCCAGACTGTGGACTTTGATCATGTTATATTCAGCTGCCACATGTTGTGGTCTTTATGTACTGTCTGTCGTATTTGCAAACTTAATAGATGTATTTTTACCAGATGAAACGGTGAACGTATCAAATGGTAATGTAATATTTCTATAATATTTGTTGAATTGTTATTTAATAAGAAGTACACGGAAAAAAAGTACTGTTGCCACAACATAATAACTGTGATAATTTTCGCCCATCAATGTAAAAGGATTATAGGAACTAAAATACTTTGGAAGTGACTTATATAGTTAATTGAACTCTCCGTCTCAATGTTGTGACGTGCAACTATATCATATATATCTCTCAATCGTACTATTTGTTGTGCAGACTACATTAGAGAGATAACAATAATAATGCTTCGGTTAAAGCAACTATATATATGAAGATATTTTACTAACCAATTGTTACTTATCATCAGAACTACGTTTGCGAGAACCGTATAGATTTCAAAATAATATTAATATAATTTAAATTCATGTACATTCCTTTTTCAAACATAGAAAATATAGTTTTAACATCCATAGCAATTTTTTCCGTGTACTTTATAAATGCATTTGCAAGAAAATTAATAATAATTATTGGAAATTATCCTGTGAAACAAGGAAGTATATATTCTCTGAATTTTCCAGTATCGTGTATTACGGATATATCTGTTTTGCAAATTATTTTTTGTTTTATACATTAAATTTTCTGTTATAGATTCTGAGAAATGGAGATACAAAAATATATTATGCAATTACATATACAAATAATTTATTGCCTCTATAGCTTTTTCATTTTCATAATGAAAATAGATCTAAATTAAAATTGTTCTTTTTTTGTTAGCGTCTTAAGAATTTTTAAACAAGGCATTAAAAATTTATGTTTATCACATTATTTTATTATTCGTCTTTTTCAATTTTAACTGTTTTACTTTAATATCTAATTATATTAAAATATACTATTGTTCTTAAATATGTTCTTCAGATTTGTATTCTTATTGTGTGCAGGCAGTGTTAGTGCAAGAGAGAGGACATTTATAATACCATATGGTGATTTGGTTAATGAAATTACCAGCTTGCAGTATGCAATAGTCACCGCCTTTCATGCTTTTCAATTAACCGTGATATGTACAATGCAATCTGTTTCGGACGCTTTTTACATTAGCATCACTCTACATCTCACTGGTCAACTTAAAGTGCTTACAGAAAAATTTAAAATGTTCGCAAGCAATAAAGACACTCAAGTAAATCGGAAGCAATTTATTAGCTTGATTAACAGGCACTGCGAATTAATGGAGTACAGTCAGAATGTGGAAGAGACGTTCAGCATAAATATATTATACAAATTCGTTGGAGCAACGCTTCTACTCGCGCTACTAGGTATAATAACTTTTTATTCTGGAATTTATTGTGAGTTTAATGACTATTTAGAAATTCATATATTAATCACATATATTTTCTTATCAAAATATTTAAATATACCATATCATATTACAATTAAAGATTTAATTGTATCGTATTATATTGCGTTAATTTTAATTTTCATCTTTGCTTCATAAAATCTCTTTCAGGATTACGTATATTAATTTGCTTAAAAAGCGGCGATTATGTCGCTTCAACGAGAACTACTCTACTCATGAATTACGTGATATTGGAGTCGCTGGTATACTGCTATGGCGGTGATTTTATACAGAAAGGAAGCCAAGATATATTTCATGCAATGTTCATGACTTCCTGGTTTACGCTTCCCGCAACGTTTATGAAGGACGTGAACTTCGCAATGATGAGGTCACGCTATCCGTTTCGTCTCACTGGTGGAAAATTTTTCTACGTTAATTGCGAGGCGATAGGGTACATTCTGAAGACGGCAGGTTCATACGTTTCGGTTTTGCGAGTGGCACTAAGAGATTAATAAAAATCAACAAATCTAATTAGACTTTACAAAATAAAAATTATATAAGAATTATGGATGTTATCTAAAAATAGGTATAACAAAAAAATACATAATATAATAATTAAAATACTTTCAAACATATACATTTAATTCTTATATATATATAATTTTATTAATACATTTATTATATTATTGATAACAAAAAAATTTCAAATTTCAATTACTATTTCAAATAAATACCAGAAATTCAGCTGTCATATTAGAGTTGTGCAGAACCTCGCTGTTCCTTCCGCAACCGTCCGCATTCTTCTACTGTGTAACATACACTGCGTGTGCCGCAGATAGTTTTACTCTTTTCACTTTATTCGCTACATCGCTCCGATCAGATGATATAACAAAAAAAAATGTTTTGCTCACGGAAAAGAAACGTAGACCTACAGGACATTGTCGTTCGACACGTAATTGATCGCGAGCATCTATGTATATGCGCTGACAGAACAACATTAGGTATACATTGAAAATTGTGCGCATTATCGGGGACGTACCCAAAGACGCGGTAGGCACAAATTTGTATCGTATCACTTATCTTACCACCCTAAAGGTTGGTCAGTGCGGAAGGACTAGATGCGTACAGGCAGCAATTTGCCTCGCGGGCAAAAGTAAGGCATCGACCCGAGCAGTATATATCCAGTCACGCACGGACTACAATTTTCCTTTTTGAGGTCGAAACCGACCAATACATCGCTGAACATGAAGACGAATTGGAACAGTGGTATAGATTATGGCTTTTCTACGATAAAATCGATGATGTGGATACTTGGTCTGTGGCCTCTGCAGCGGGATAACGTAGTTTACACGATTCAGTGGTTCATAATATTCATAGCAGGGGTAAAATAACGTAACGTAATGTAAGATAACATGCAATGTAGAAATTAGCTGCTTGTAATGGTAAGAGCAAAAGTATATGCAATTTCTTAGTGAAAGTTAACAAGGTAAAAAGCTGCACTGCATTTGCTTTTAAATCTTTCTCTCAGTCAAGTTCAAAATGATAAGAACTTTAACTTTAAATTATCAAATAATTAAATCTATTATCTATAATTATTATATTGAATAAATTCTGTAACACGTATATAACATTGTATGTGTAAAAAGTATATAAAATTTAATGCATTTAAAAAAAGATATATATTATGCACAATAATTTTTCATATAATTTTAAGCATATTAAGAACAATTGGTGATTAAAGTTTTATAAATAATTTGAACAAGTCATTTCTTGATAGTTATTGTTTTCGATATAGTGCAACCTTGCAATGAGAACGCAATTTTATATTTACTACCATGCAGTCTCTCACATTGATCAACGTGCTGATAGAACCTTTTAAGACCTGCGACGCTGCTAGAGACGGTTTGGAAATTCTTCGTTTAATAGAAAGCGGCATGCATGCCTGGTTGAACATTATTTTTCCGCGAATTTACATGAAAAAGATCGCCGTTAATGTCAATTCCGCGATCGACGACTGGTCGTCCCCGTCAATGAAGCAAGAGTCGCGCGTAGTGATGATGGCTTACGCACGTGTAGGACGTCTAGTCGCCCTGACTCACTTGATTGCCGGTGGAACAGCGGGCGCCTTGTGGTTTATATCCGTCTTCCTCAGCAATAAGCAAGAGGTTGTATTAAATCATCATAAGACCTATTGTTGAGTAATATTTAAACATATTTTGTTAGTAAAGAAAATATTTTATTCTGTAAAAATTAATATATTCTGTATTCTGTATTCTAATATATTCTGTTTTCCGTATTCTACAGGCTGCATCTATGGATAACGATACGGAAGCTATGTGGAATTTTGTACTTCCATCAACATGTCTGTACAAAGGGGTTTCGTATTCCACATACAAAATATTATTTGTGGTGCAAATAGTACAAGGATCCTTGATATTAATATCAGAATGTGCTTGCGATAGCTTCTTCTTCGGCATCACTATGCATCTTTGCGGTCAGTTGGAGCTCTTAAGGATACAGTTTACGGAGATCGGCAAAAAACGCTATGGGGAAAAGCGTCATGGAAATATTTTGGGGCCACTCGTCAGAAGACATTGCCAGCTAATAGCGCTGACCAAGAATATTGAAGACGCTTTTAGTGTCAACATTTTACTGCGCCTTTTAATAATTAGTGTAGTCATTGCTGCTTCAGGTATGTATCCTCAAATTTTTTTCAATTTTTTTAACAATTTTATATTGATCCATCTTGAAATAATTTACAAAATTATATCTCAAAATTTGCATAAAAATTACGAAAAAGGTTTTGCAGTATATTTACACAGTTAGATTAAATTATTGAATTATTTTTAAAATCTACGGTAAAATAAGAAAGAGTCAAGTACAAATATACAGCAAAACAGAACGAGAAAAAGTAATGAAATAGCAATGAAAATTATAATTTACAGAGAAATATTTTAACATATAAAATATATTCAGCATAAAAATCTAAGCTAATATTCATAATTCGAAGAATTGCGGGTTTTCAGGAGTAGGGGTTCTCTTGTCAATCAAACACCAAGATTACAAGGAAATGATAAAAATGTTCATGTCCATTCAATTTTATTTAGTACAAACCTTTTTGTATACGTATGCCGGAGATATCTTGCAGAATCGAAGCGAGTCAATTGTTTATGCCATATACAGCACAGAGTGGGACGAAATGTCACCCGTCATGGTGAAGGATCTGATATTCATTATGATGAGAATGAAGACTCCTCTTCGAATTAGCGCTGGAAAATTTTTCTATCTTACGCGAAACACTATGACAGATATCTTGAGAACCACCTTAACGTACATATCGTTTTTACAAGTGACAATTAACAAATACGATAATTCTCAATAATTCCTACGTTTATAAAAAGCGACACACATTTGTAGATAAGTAAAATAAAATATAATTATATTTCAGTATCTCATCATCTACTTCTTTTGAGCAACATGTTATATTTGTTTCATATTTGTTACATGTACAAATTTATATATTATACTTGTTATTTATCTTCCTTTTTACCGATCTATAACGTTGTTTTTGAAGCACTTGTTTTGATCTTTCTATATACATATATAACAAGAAACGTATAGATTTCATTACGATGTGAGGAGAGCTTTTTATCAAATTGGAAATTATATCGTATTGAAAATCTATCAACTTGAACGAATTAAAAATCTTTATTTCTGTTCTACGCGGATTGATAAATAGTGAGTTCCCAAGTAACAAGTCATCATGACATCAAAATGACGTCAAAATGATTTAAAAGTCACTTTTCGATCAATTATGAATCATTTTAATGTCATTTTGACGATACGTAACTTGCTGTTCTGCTTAGGTTCTTAGATATTAAAATTGCGCGTATCTATAACAAGATACAAACGTGTACGCAAAAGAAATTTTTAATTATTTAGCGGTGAATTAGAAGATACTGATACATTGAATTCGAAATTGTGTCGTACTCCATATCTTTCTTTACGATAAAACTGCAAAAAAAATTATTACAATATTGCCAATACGACAGTCGCGACCGGAGACAACGTATTGAAACAAAAATAAAACTCCCTTTCTTCTCTTTTGCTCTTCACCCTTTTGTACTTTCATGAAGAGAACTTCACATAAATTGTTCTAAACAACTGTACTTCGGAAAATAACAGAACGTACGGATAAGTAAAAAATAAGTTAAAATAGTGCAACTACAATAAAATATGTACGCGAATACGAATTTCGTCGATGATCGATCCACATTATGGGCAAAGACTGACATTTGTGACTACAGTACGTCTCTACTTGACTGCCATAATGTCGTGGAATGACGATACGGCATACTCTATGACCCTCGTCAAACACTTAACTGTACCCATAGGTGCTTGGCCCTTGCAAGAATACAATAAATTCACTTTGTTGCGGCATATTGTGTCTAGTCTTGGGTTGGTACGTTTCCAATTTTCATATTGTGAAACAAAATTTGTCTTGTATTTTCGATATCTGAAGCTCAGAGAACAGATTATCGATATAAATTTGTTAAGAACGCTTAAAATAAATATTGACACGGTAAAAACGAAAAATGAATAAAGCAAAGTCTCCGAGATAAACAGGTCCATTCTTATTTTCTGTGCAGAGCGTGGTGGTGGTCGTGCAGTATCTCGAGCTCTATTACAACTGCACAAGCGCGAACGCGAATCTTGACGCCCTCACGCTCTTTGCATGCGGTATTGTCGCTCTAACGAAAATAATATGGTTCCGTATATACGCCGATAATTTGATTTGCAATTATTCCTCTGCCATGAACGATTATCTTTCAATCGACACCGAGGAGAAGCGCATCATCATGCGAGAGCACGCTTTCTGGGGAAGAGTAATCTGCATTATCGCCTTATTGATCGCTTACGTCGATTCGGCGATCTTCATCGTGGGACACGCACAAGTAAGCAGCGAGGAGGCTAAGACTAATATAACTATCCTGGGCCGTCAAGCGGGGTACGCTATTCCGTCGACATGTACGTTAGCGAATTTTCCCATTTCGACGAACTTATATGTGGTGATTTTCGCGCTGCAATACATCTATCTTGTAATTATGTGCCTCAGCAATCACGGTGAGCCATTATTATTTGTGTAATTATTTTCACAAAATATTAATTTGTATTATATACATATAAATTATTTAGGATGCGATTTACAATGTTTACTAAATGTTTTAAGTCGCATCCTAAATAATTTATATGTACATAATACAAATTAATATTATGTAAAAACATTTATTAATGAATTTTTTAAGTCGTGTAATTATCTTTTGAATGCAAATTTGTTCAAATGTCGAATGCATACTACGCTTTTAATAAAATATTTAATTTTGCAAATATTAAATTTGGTTTCTATTAATATTCGTAAAATCTTTCATGTATTTTGTAGGTAGGTGCTGTTTAATACATATTTGTAATTAATATTTTGCATTTTCTCAACGTATTTTTAATCATAATGTTTATAGGCAGTGACTCTGTATTTCTTCATATTGTGTTACACGTGTGCGGCCAACTAAAAATTTTAAAAGCAAGGTTCATGAACTTTGACGTTACAAGTCCGAAAGTCTACGAACGTTTTAACACACTAATTTTGAGACACGGTCATTTGATAAGAATGACCAGAAAGCTTGCCGAGATAATTAGCTTCGTTTTGGTAGTACAACTCTTTATCAGCAGTATGCTTATAATTATAGTAGGTAAATATGCATCAATTTGACATATCCGCGAATTAATAAAAAAAAATTATGAAATGTTATAAAATATTACATTAATTACGTGTGTCCTTTGCAGGATTCCAGTTTATCATTGCCTTAACCACCAGCGACTTTGGAATGATGTCAAAAAGTTTCTTGGTACTCAGCGCCTTTCTGGTGCAGCTAACGCTATATAGCATTGTCGGGGATTATTTGAAGACACAGATGGAAGAAGTCGCGCTGTTCGTTTATCAGAGCGTTTGGTATGATCTTCCTGTAAAAGTGACAAAAAATATTGTATTTATTATGAAGTGGAACCAGCTTCCAATTAAGCTGCAAGCTGGAAATTTCGTTGTGGTAGACTTGGGAACTTACATGAGCATTCTAAAAACTTCTCTTTCATATTTATCTGTATTACGCGTGATGATGGAAGCGTAAAGCATATAACAATAATATATATCAGAAGCATATATTAACAATTGTTCACATAAGATACCTACAGAGAAATAATTACGTATATAATGTAGAATTTTAACAAAATTGCTAATTATAATCACAATACATTTAAACCGTATTAAAAATATCACGCAACAGCAAAATATGAAATATGCATAATTTCAGTGGAGCTTATAACACTACTTGTGTTGCCTAAGAAATTAAATTTAAAAATTGATCAAACGTATCCTTGATAAGAAAATGGTATCGGAATAAAAGATATTGTAACGCGATCAATGACAGATGATGCACTGGAAAGAACATGAAACTCCCCCTCTCTTTCGCCGCTCGATCTTTGCCCCACTCTACTTCCATATAAAAAACCGGTTTCCGTCAGTTTTTAAAATAACTGTGTTTTGAAAAATAACAAGGTAATTTAGTAAATGTGGCACAATTGCGTATGATGTAGAACTTTAATAAAATATGAACGTAAAAGCGAACGTCGCCTATATGACCGGCTCGTATTACGGGCAAAGGCTAGCTGATTATTGAGTATCGTGCACCGTATAGCTCGACATGACTGCAATAATGTCACGGAATGACGATGTGGCATACGCTATGACTCCCTTCAAATTCTTAACTCTGCCATTAGGCGTTTGGCCCTTGCAAGAATATAACGCATTAGCCTTTATACGTTCTTTCGTATGCACCGTCAGTTTGGTACGTTCTCTCTTCACATTTACATCATATTCCTATAAAAATTTCTCTGCAACTTGTACTTCGACGTATCAAGTTAGACAGTTCAATTTGAAATAAGTATACAATAAAAACGGAAAAAACAAGCCCCGTAATAAACGTTCTTCTGTCTGTGTAGACCGCGTGGATAATCATAATTTTCTTCGAAGTTAATTTCGGTGGCGGCGATGTGTATACAAAAATTGATGGTCTTTTGCTTATGATGTGCACCATCCTTTCTGTAATAAAAATTTTAGCCTTTCGCTTGTATGCCGACAATATGATTCGAAATTTCTCTTCTGCTGTGAAAGATTATCTCGCAATCGACAACGAGAACATGCGCAAGATTATGCGACATCACGCATTCATGGCAAGGGTGATGTGCTACAGTGTCTTATCTTTCGCTTATACGGCACCAGTTTTCTTTCTGGTAGCTGTATTAATAGCAGGTGGTGATGAGGACATCCAAGTTAATAGCAATACATCCATTAAGAATCCAGCAGAAGATTTACCTGTGCCCTTAACATGGACTTTAGGAAGTTATCATCTCTCTACGAGTTTATATTTCGTGATCACTATAGTACAATACATTATATTGACGCTCAATTGCAATGGCAATGTTGGTAATAAGATGATCATTAATACCGAAGAGACTTATGTACCTATAATTAGTTTGCTTTAAACATTTTGTTTTTAATAAAATTCAAAAATAAATTTTGTAATTTTTAGATTTTATTTTTCAACACTTTGATTATTAGCATATAAACTAAGCATAATGTTTAATTAAACATTTATTTTTATTGGCATTAAGTATTAAACCTTTGTTTATCAATACATTTTTTATTTTTTTATACACGTCTTAGCTATTTTGATTGCAATAAGATAATGTTTTGCTTTTTTTTTAATTACTTCATTAGCAGATTCTGACTGATCACTTCTTTATTAAAACTTTTAATGTACATTACTTTAATGTATTGTAAAATTAAAATTTATTTATCAAGGCAATGATGTTCTTTTCCTTGCAATTCTTCTCCATATTTGTGGACAAATGGAACTCCTAAAAATCGAATTTACCAATTATGGCGTAAAAAGCAAAGTCATAATTGAAGATTTTTCAGTATTAATATCAAGACATCGTTATCTAATGGAGCATGCGGAACTTCTGATAGATGTAATAAGTTTTGTTTTGCTCGTGCAATTGCTGATCAGTTGTATTATTATTTGTATTATGGGTAAATATCTCTTATTTAATACTGCTCCAGTTATCGCGAAACATTATACACATTTATCAAAATATAAAAAGTTACAATGTTTTACATTTTATCAAATATCCACAGAATATTATCTAATTGTATCTTGTGGTATTTTATAATAACATAACAAAATAATCACATTTAACTGGCAAAATTTCTGTATCAGTAATTCTGCTATAAAAATTGATTTGTGCATGCTATACATGCAATTATATGTTTTTCAAGATCGGAAGAGC